TTTAGATCCTCCTTAATGGCCTTCAGTTAAGTTGGAGAGTTGTTTTGTCAATGTTTTGTGAAATTTACTTCTAAGTATTTTATAGCTTTTGTTGCTATTGTGAATGGTTGTGAATGGGAGCTTTTAAAAAATACATTTCTAAGTCGTTGTTCCTAGTTTATGGGAAATCAGTGCTTTTTGGCATGTTTTCCTCTCTTTGAGCTAACATGTTACTTTTTTTGGTTTATTTATTTTTTAGTTCTAATAGTTTTTCAGTTGATCCTACTGTATGTTCTAAATAGCTATATTATCTGCAGAGGATACTTTTGTCACTTCCTTTTTTTTTTTTGAGATAGAAAATATGGTTTTAACCTTTATTTTTTTTAACATTTTTTATTGATTTATAATCATTTTACAATGTTGTGTCAAATTCCAGTGTAGAGCACAATTTTTCAGTTATACATGAACATACATTTGCCACTTCCTTTTCTAATATTTTCCAATGTCTTTGTGTCTGTTTTTTTTGGGGGGGGGGGTGGCATTATTTAGGATTTCCAACAGAATGTTGTAGGACAGCCTTGTTTTGCTCCTGGTTTGTAAGATAGGAATCCTGAAAAGGGTCAACATTGGGGCTTCTCGTGTATCTTCATCAAGTAAAGGATATTTTCATCTATTTCTGACTTTCTAAGACTTTTAGTTAGGAATAGTTGAATTTATTCATTGGTATAAAATTGAATATATTCTCTGATAAGTAAATTTTAAAAATCTGTTTTATATCTATGTAAGTGAAGTTTCTTAACTTCTTTCCCTTTATACTCTCAGAAACTTAGCTATAGGATTAGCTGTATCAGTAATTTTGCTTTCATGAGCAAGTCCATTTTGTGTGTGTGTGTTTTAGCAGTTATTTCTGTTTGATTTATATCTTTATAACGATCATTTCCCCTTTTTACTTAGGTTTGTATTCTAATTTCTAATGCTTGGTTCATATTTTTTTTTCAGTCTTTGTGGTTTTATTACTTAAAAATTGAAGGATATGAGTATTTCTGAAGGAGATTTCTCTCATTACACATCCCATACGTTTTGATAAGATAGTACTTTCTCTTTATTAATTTATAAGGAACATACAGTTTTAATTTTGCTTTCCTTTTTAACACATTCCATTGTGGCTTTGCCCCTCCACTTAATCCCATTTGATTCTTGGGAAGATCACCACTGGCCCCTCCTTAGCTCTATAATATAACCTCTTTTGGTTTGTTTTCCCTTTTACTTACTAGTCACACTGACCTTTCTTTCTAACATGTCTATTCCTTTGAAGTCCTTCCTTGATCCCCTACTTAAGTAGCTCCTTTCCTCTTCTTGATTTTCTAACCCAGTACCCGTTTTGTATCTCTTACATACAACTTAAAAAAATTTATTGTGTGTGTATTCATGTTTACTGCTGTTACTGTTAGTTTCTTGTACAGTGTATGGAGTGCGGTAGATAATCAGTATTTGAATGAGTGAGTAAATGATACGTGATCTTATGAAAGAATTGGGGCAGGGAGAGGAACCTACCCAGATATATAGGCCTTTTGTCAAACTACCCAAGCTCTATAGCCCCCTGGAAAGCTTTTGTGTAGCTCAGGAGTACGCATGCATACCCCACTTTGAGAATCCCTCATTAAATCATATAAGATCAGCATTAGTAAGCAGTAATTTTTTCCCTTTATCATTTTTAAGGTTCATTTTTTTCCTTTTTAAATGCCTTCCCTCACTCATTTATTTAGCTTCTATTAAAAAAAAGGCTCACTTTAGGTATAGGAAAAATATTAAGATATATCAAATTATTTAAGTTAGTGGGATAGACGTGTAAGCAGCTAACGCAACGCAAGTAAGTCTAGAGCACAGAAAACACTTTGTACTTTGCATTTCTTTTTTTCCACTCAGTCAAGTATAACCTTTTTCCTTTGGCTTCTTTCAAGATTTGTTTACCTTTGAATTTCTGAAATTTGAAAATGAGATGCATTTATTTTGCCGAGTATTCTTTGAGCTTTCTGGATTTGTGGTTTGATACCTGACATTAATTTGGGGACAATTCTCAGCCATTATTGCTTCAAAGGTTTCTCCTATTCCTTTCTTTTTTCTTGTAGAAGTCCCATTGTGTGTTTATTACATCTTTTGTAGTTATTTCACAGTCCTTGAATATTTTGTTATGTTTTTCTCAGTATTTGTTCTTTTTGCTTTTCAGTTTTTTAGCATTCTGTTGATAAATCCTCTGACCCAGAGTTTCTTTCTTTAGCTGTATCCAGGTTACTAATAAGCCCGTCAGTGACATTCTCTATGTCTGTTACAGAGTTTTTGAGCTCTGATTTCCTTGTTTTTTCCTTAGGATTTCCATGTCTCTACTTACATTGCCTATCTGTTCTTATATACTGTTTACTTTATCCATTGGAGCCCTTAGCATATTATTCATAGTTGTTTTAAATTGCTGGTCTGATAATTCCAATATCCTTGCCACATCTGGTTCTGATGCTTGCTTTGTCTCTCAGATTGTTTTTATACCTTTTAGTATACCTTGTAATTTTTTTCTAGATACCCAGACATGATGTACTGGGTCAAAAGAACTGCTGCAGAAAGGCCTTTGGTAATGCGATGGTGAGGTGTGTGGGGAGGGGAAACGTTCCGTGTTCTATAATTAGGTCTCAGAGCCTGTGCCTCTGGGCTTTGAACTTCACAAGTAGTTTTTAGTTTTTTTCTAACCCCCTTTTGCTCTGACAGGTTGACTAGAATGAGCTAGAGCTGGGGATTTTCTTTCCCCAGGTCACTTAGGTTCTGGTAATGTCCCAGCAGGTTGGTTTCTGGTTAACTAGTTTTCCCTGAGGGCAGGGCTTGTTAAGAAGAACTACTCTAGCACTCTAGCATATTTTAAAGTGGTTTCTTTCCCATCCTTCTGCTGGAAGCATAATGGGATTTTTCTCTGATAATTCCTATGGGAATCTGGTTAAGCTGCTGGAGGTGAATTTCACAATATTATGGGGGCCTCCCTGTGACTGCTTTCTCCTGGAGTTTTTAACTCTCAGACTCACCCCACACTGAGCCACTTCCCAACAATTTTCCAATTACAGTTCAAATTTCCTACCTGACAGTGGTTGCTACTGTAGTTTCTGCTCCTGAGTCTGCTCCGGTATGTTGAGATTCCCTGTATTCTGTCTCTCCAGTCTAGGGCAGTGCTTTGCCTTATATCCTTCCTTTGCTTATGGCTTCCAGAAGAGTAGCTTCTTACTTGTTAGGGTGGAGTAGTAATTTACATGCAGAACTGGAAATGAAAGTCTAATCTTTTTCTTGTTTTAAAAAAAGATAAGCTTACTGAATCTTTTTGTATAGAATGCATAGAAGTTTTCATCTCTTTTGCCTGCTCTGCTCTTTGCTTAATGAAATAGTCACTTCTTGATGGTGTTTATATTGAAAAAGCTTTTGAGACCACATTGAGCCTCCAGAAAAGGACTGTGATCTGCCATATGTGAAGATGTGGAAAGTGAGCTTGAATGCCAGGTATTTGCAGTCCATAAAAGAACATTCTGAATGTCTTATTGATATTTCCCCACTGGTTGTTAAATCTACGTGCTTTCAGAATCTACCTGTAACTAGATCTCAAGATTTACTTCCTGATTCTGCCACTGCTACTAAATTTATCTTGTCCAAACTAATACTAATATTCTCTCACAAATTTGAGTGACTTTTTTTGTGCAAGAAATATTTGTTTTGTTAGGTATCTCTTTTATTCAGAAGTATAACTTAGATGTTATAACTGGCGAAGGGGCCACGGGGAGGCCAAGATCTTCTCTTGTGCCGCAAGGATCTTCAGGTAGTAGGCATCTGGGAAGCACAGTGCTGTCAGTGGAAAGACTCTCTTAAGGTTGCTTTGACACCTCATTTCCCATCTTCGCTGGCTTCATTTCTTCTCTCCAGCCTTTTAGATTATTATTATTACCTAGGCCATCCGTTCTTGTTCCTTTCGTCTTTCTTTGTTCTGTCTGTATGTTAGGCAGTGTCAGTACATAGATGACTCCCAAATACTAGTCATCACAATCATGATTCATTCCCATCTGAACAGAGGGTAAATGTCTTTCACATCCTTGGCTTGGGCAAGAGTGAGCTGCAGAGAGATTCAGCATCTTACTAAACCAAAGAAGAGGAAAGGGAAAGGTTATATGTGATTTTGAGGAGGGGTAGAATTTAGATTAAATTTAAATGAAACAATGTATCGACCCAAAGTAAAGAGGAACTAATTCTGGAGAGTTTATTCAGTAATTGCTAAAAGTGGAAATTTGAGCTTCTTAAATACATGTAGATCAGCTACTTTAGGTCAAAGTAGAATTTACTGCTTTCTCTGTATATGTGGTTAGTGTCTTGAGGCAAAAAATGGAATTTTTCATTCTCAGACCCCTCTTGACCCTCTTGGGCCAGATCACAGGAGAGGTCACTATTGTTCAGATCTGCACTGCTGACATGTTTTTTTAAATTGAGATAGTGGTTTTGGTAATCAGCAAGATTGTATCCTTGTTTTGGTCTCAGGATTACCTGCTGTATTATCTGGTAAAATGGGATCCATGCAGTAGCGTTTAAGACTCTAGCTACCGGGGGAGCATAAGATTGAGTATAATACAGACTTAAACAGAGAGACTGGAAAACTTTCAAAAGGCATGTAGATTGTAGTTTTCCAAATGATACCAGGAAATTCTGGAACTACAACTAACTTGTGAATTACCTCCTCAATCTTATTTGCCACCCTAACACAAATATCCAGATCAGATATAATTTGGCTGCGTTCAGGAGAACTGGTATCTCTAGAAACAAGCCTTTAGGAGAATATTTTATTTGACAGTTCCTATTAATTTGCTGGGGGAGCTTTCTAAAGACGGATGAGAGAAGTGTTCTGTTTATAGTTGACCCACAGTGACAGGTTGGGGCGTGGGTTAGGATTTGAAATTCTTAGAAATTCCTCCTATCTGAGTAGTTTTAGTTCTCTGATAGATTCATTATGTTATTGTAGGATTTATGGTAGAAATAATGGCACATGTATCTACAAGGAAACTGACCACCTATATTTACAGGTATAGTTCACCTTGAATTCAACAATAGGAAACTAGATTCCAGAGTCATCTTCAGAGCAGCATCATTGGTAGGTTTGGGGCCATTGTTCTTTACATACACACACACACACACACACACACACACACACACACACACACGCTTTATTTGCTAATATGGAGCAGTGCCTCTTCAGATATTTTTTTGATTGCTGTATCTGCCAGTATCTTTTTGAATAGGTCCTTGAAACCTAGAGGCTGAAGGAGCTTTTGATTTTGCTTTTTTATCTGAAGGATCATATGTTTGTTTTAGTTTGTAGTTTGTCAGTTTTCTAAAGCTCTTCTAACATTTTCAGCTCTGTGTTGGAAATTATCCAAATGTGCAATTTTCCATTCCATTTAAAAAAATCTGGTACTTTAGATTTTAGCCTCTTAAGAAGTAGGGGCAGGTTCTTCTTACAATGCCTTTTGGATCTGTCCCACAATATTGGTTGACTGCCTTGAAACCAGTTTCTGTGTGTCCTATTTATTGTTTCATTTTTTGTCTATGGCCTTGAATTTTAATCTAACTTTTAAAGGAAAGGCACCAGAAAAGGCCTTATGTTTATTACCCTGATTTTCTTGCTTTCTTTAGTTCCCATTGAATGTTTTGCAAGTTTCTTTTTTTCAGCTATTTTTCAACCATTTTTATCCACCCGAGGGGCTACAAGTAAGTGGATTCGTTAGTATAAACCTGGGATTCCTGGATAATTAGTGTCTAACAGAATGTAAAAGTCACTAGCAACCATTAGTTTGCTGCCTCAAGGTTTTGGAAAGTCTTTTATTATGACTGTTAGCCTTAAATTGTACCTGAATTTAGTTTCCATTTGTTTACCTACCATTGTAGCAGTCTCAAGTGGGTATGGGTCATTGGTTGTCTTCTTAGGAAAGACCTCGAGGGAAGAGTAGTTCATTTAGGATTTTAGGGGAGGCAGTAGAGGGAAACAGGCAATACAGGTAAAGGTAGTGATGCTAAAACATGATAATGTTAGATGCATAAGGAGGGCAGGTTTCAGATAATTTGAGTGCTTTTTTTTTCCTTTGGTCCTTGCTAGAGAATGTTTAAAGGGTTGCTATTTTGAAGTCTGAGTTTCATTTTGAGGCCTCTGCATACCAGGCAAAAAGACTGACCGTCATGTATTTGGTAGTTTTTCATGTTTCTTTTCTAGAGCTTCTCTTAGTTGCATTATCTTTGACATATCCAAAATTACTAATAATAGCCAAGGTAATTATAAATCATCCTTGAGAAGTTGTGCTGTCTAGCCTACTAAGCACAATAATTCAGATTATTACAAGAGTTTCTATAAGTGGAAGGAGTTCTGCCAGGAGAAGTTTGCAGCGTAGATGTAGAGAAACCCACATCCTTACACAAACTACATAGAACACCATCAAGTGATGCTTATAAAATGGTGACTAGGGCCCATGATTTAATAGTCTGTTAGCCTTTAGCCCCAGAATACAGAAATGAAGGAAGAAGGCCTCCTACATTACATTAAATAAAGTGATCTGTTTCTTAGATAATTTCCTTGTAAGATTTTTAGAGGGGCTGATGGCAAAGTTTGCTGTTCCAGAGAGCAGACACTGGTCTAATGGGTCTCTTGTATGTGTTAGCCTCTAAAGTTTGAGTACATAGCAGGTCTTAGAGTCTGTGCCATCATTCGATCCTCTGAAGATTGAATGATACAGAAAAGGTAATATTTCATCAAGGGGAAGTTCCTATCATGAAATTTTTCCATTTGTGATTCTTAGAGAATGGAGTCAAAGCACAGGATGCTAATCCTGGGATTAACAGATAAACAGCTAGATGAGTGACCAGAGCTCTGTGGAAAATTGCTCAGATTTCAGATTGCTGTTGGGGGCACTGATTAGGGATCAAGATGAACCTTCAAGCACAGAAGGCTCGAGGAGTGTGTGCTTGTTTGGGAGTCCAGTAGTTCTGATAAGCAAAATGAGTCTTCAAGGTAGACACAGTGGACGGCCTCAAAATTATAAACAAAAACCATGACGCACTCAAATTTGAAAAATTTGAACATACTTACTTCAGATTTTTGCTTGGACAGGGAGAAGCTTAATCAGTTTGCCTCCAGAGGGCAGCTGTAGGGTGAATAGGCAGTAGTTTTGGGCTCACCATTAAAAGGAGCTTTCCGAACATCATAAACTGACTTTTACAAAGGGGGGTTTTCATGAGTGGAACTGTCAAAGAAGAGGCAGAATGATCTGTGGTTTAAAATGCTATAAAGTAGATTTTCTGTCTTTGGCAAAAGTTGGACTAGATGGCCGTGCTGAAGAGTCTGAAGTTTTCCTGACTTAGTTCTAAGTTCCATGACCATCTGTTTCAGAAAGGTATTTATTATTTTGGGTTAGGAGAGTTTTCTATACCCTAGTAATAGTTAAGTACTCTCTCTTTGCTAGCCCTTAAGTGGTAAGGAATCAGTGATAGCTTCTTGTTCTCAAATAGCTTGTATTTATAAATACAGGAACAATTCTTGAGCATTTCTTTTTCATTTTTGAGGAGCCAATGTGTAATTTCTGTTTTTCTTATTCTCAGGATTTACAGTTCCTAAAATTAGTTTTGAGATTTATTTCCCTTTCAGATACTAAAAATTTTTTTCCTCTCCTTTTCATTCCTAGCAATGTCTCAGGCTGTGCAGACGAACGGAACTCAGCCGTTAAGCAAAACATGGGAACTCAGTTTATATGAATTACAACGAACACCTCAGGTAATGTAGACTTAGATAACTTAGGGGAAATATGAAACCATGCAAGCTGGGATACATTTTCAGAAAATGAAAACTTGAAAGAACAGTAATAATAAATTTATGTACAAACGGTCCTAATTTGTGTGTGTTTGGTTGACACTTCATTCATTCAACAAATAATTTGAGTGCATACTCTATAGCAGGTCCAAAGCTAGGAACTAGGTGAAGTGGTGAATAAAACAGATGTGGCACCAGTCCAGGAAGTTTATAGACATTAAATAAGTAAATATCCATAGAATTGCACATTTGAGAAATTTTGTAAAGGGAAAGTCCTCAGTGCTGTAATAAATAATAATGGGGGAACCAGGAAGACTATTTTGAGAAAGTGAAGATAGGAAAGACTTCGGAGAGGAGCAGGTTTGAAGGAGATAAATATGCTTAAAACCAGACTCCATTTTAAGTTTGAGATGCCTGTAAGACAGGCAGAGATGCTACCTAAGATCTGGACTTAAGCAGGGGAATGGATAAGATCACTTAGAGAGAGATGAGTAAAAGACCCAGAACTTTGTCCAGATGAGCTTCATCAGAGGAGCGTCAACATTTAGAAATTAAGTAATGGAAAAGGAACCAGCAAAGGGGACTGAGAGGGAACAGCCAGAGAAAAGTAAGGGAAAATTGGAGATGAAGAGGGGATCAAAACGTAAGAAGTGGAGATTATAATTCTGAAATCAAGTTTGTGTAGAGCGGAGAGGATACAGCTCAGTGGTAGAGTATGTGCTTAGCATGCACAAGGTCCTCAGTTAAATCCCTAGTACCTCCATTAAAAAAAAAAAATCAGTCAATCAAATTACCTACCCCCCAACAAAAAAATAAACACAAAACAAAAAGTTTGTATACATATTAAACTAAGTAAAATACAGAAAATGCTTTCTATAGAGAGTTTGGAACACCATAGATACTGGATAATGGACAATATCTCTAGTTTTCCTTGTAAGGTCATCAATCTTTGACCCTGTAGAGAAAATACAAGCATGATAGAGGGCCAGTGGGCACAGGACGTGTTGGCGAACGTGTGGGAAGCCCATTATTTCTACCTGCATCTGCCTCTTCAATGGCCACCTTCTAGACCTCTTTTCTTACTCCTTGGGAATCTGTTTTGGTGCCTTTAGAGCTAGGTAGTCTTTGTTCTCAATGCCACCTTGTGGGAAGGTTGGGTAGTGGTAGTGGTGAAGAAAGTGGGAGTCACTAATTTGTACAGTTGGGAGATGTGTCCTGAATTCTACATTGGAACTCCAGATGCATTTTTACACTGGAAGCGTTTTTAGACATGATAATTAGAAATACTTGGAACACTTCAGATGTGCTATGGTTTTAAATCAGTTTGTAGGTTAGCCTGAGAACCTGACCACTTTGTGTAGAACTACCTCTGTGGACCAAGACTTTATAAGGTTCAAAAAGTGATTTTAAAATGAAATAATAGTATGTAAATAGAGAATACTTATATTTGAATCTTAAAATATTTTAATGGATGGCATGAAATTTATTATCAAAATGGTACAGTTATAAAGATGGAAGGGTTCATTTAGTCTTAACTCCCTCATTTTGCAGGTAAGAAGACAATATGGAAACTAATTATTTCGAGTCACAATGCTAATTGTAGAACTAGAACCTAAGTCATCTGATTCCATACTGAGTGCTTTAAAAAAAATTATACGAGACTAATTTACCATCAGTTATCTTTTAAATACATATGTTATCATTAGCATTAAAATAAGATCATTTATATATTGCATTGATGCTGGGGCTGAGGGGACTTGGAGGAAGTTATAGCTAAAATAAGGCTGCTTGTGAGTTGATGGTGGTGACTGGTTGATGGGTACATAGATGTTCATTTTTGTCATTTTTTTTTAATATTCTTATATGTTTGATTTGGTCCATAATTAAAAAAAATAGGTAGCATTTAATTTTAAAGTGATGCTTTTACAGGAGGCAATAACGGATGGCTTGGAAATTGTGGTTTCACCTCGAAGTCTACATAGTGAATTAATGTGCCCAATTTGTTTGGATATGTTGAAGAATACCATGACTACAAAGGAGTGTTTACATCGTTTTTGTGCAGACTGCATTATCACAGCCCTCAGAAGTGGGTATGTTGAAATGAATTATATTAGGTACTTAAATTACACTAGGACAGTGCTCTAGTGCTCTGTGGGTTTTGAGAAACACATTCTCTATAGGTATTCACTTGCGAATTGGAAATCTCTAAAGTCTAGGTTTTAATTATTGGAGAATCTTTGTTTTGAAACAGCTGATTTTATATAATTTTAGAAGCTTTTATAGGATGAGTGTTTTGAGGAAATTATAAAGCATAAAACCATGGTTTTCTCACTTTTTATGAATGTAAAATAATCTGATGAATGCTATTTTAATAAAATAATTTATAACATAAATTAATACATATTAGTGGTTAGTTTTTCCATGTACGGCATGGAAATTTATTTTAGGGAAGAACAGATTTTTATTTTTAAATGGCTATATATGTAAATTATTGTTGGGAAGTATTCGGATTTTTCTCTATTAGCAAGTAGTAAAAAGTGTCTGAGGTTTCAAAAATCCTATTTAACCACTAGTCAGATTTTCAAAGAAAGTCAGGTTACAGTTTAAATCTCTGTCAGTTTATAGAAATATTGGAATAAAGATGATAATTACCTGGAAGCTGGCTATTTTTGTCTTTAGCCCAAAGATACTGGCATTATTTACACTTTCCTGCCCCTCTTTCTGTTTAGCAATAAAGAATGCCCTACCTGCCGGAAAAAGCTAGTTTCTAAAAGATCTCTAAGGCCAGACCCAAACTTTGATGCGCTCATCAGCAAAATTTATCCAAGTCGTGATGAGTACGAAGCTCATCAGGAAAGAGTATTAGCCAGGATCAACAAGCACAATAATCAGCAAGCGCTCAGCCACAGCATTGAGGAGGGACTGAAGATACAGGCCATGAACAGGTATGTGGGACAGAAGGCCAGACAGGGTGTCATTTTTCTTAATACTTCATTAAATATTAAATTTACTTAACACCCTCCATTTTGAAAAAGGTAAAATGCAGTAATAAATACTAGTTCTCTGTGGTTACCTCTTCATGCTGGGATAATATATGCCTCCTGGCATGGTAGGTTATTCCATTGAAAATACTATGGTCTTTAAAAAGTCGTCTTTTATACCCACTTCTTCCTCCACTTACTATTTGATTCCTCCTCTTTGTAGCAGAATTCCTTTAAAGCATTTGACTATACTCAGTATCTCCAATTTTTCTCCCATTCTGTTTTGAACCCCCTCTAATCAGTCTTTATCCCCACCCTCCATATCACCCATATCAAGGTTACCATTGACCTCAACATTGGGAAACCTAATTGCTGATTCTCAGATCTCATCTTACTTGGTAGCATTTTACACAATTAATTTCTTTTTTCTCTTTGATTCGTTTTCTTCTCCTGGCTTTCAGGAGGCCATATTCTCCTGGTTCCCTTTGTATGTCATTAGCTGTTCCTTATCTCAAACTTAACATGTCCAGTACTAAACTTTTAATTCTTAAACCCTACTTCTCTTCATTCTTACTCATTTCAGTTGATGGCAGTTCCGTCATCCCACTTGCTATAGCCAAAAACTTTAGAGTTACCTTTAACCTCTCTTTTTTCTTACAGTTTATATGCTAATCTGTGAATAAATATATTTTTAGCTTTCTCCATAATATATCCAAATTGGTCTAGGCCACCACCATCTTTCAATTGAAGTATTGAAGTAGCTTCCTCATTGGTCTTTCTACCTTCCATGCTTACCCCTACGTAGTCTGTTCTCAGCACTGCAGGCAGAGTGATGAATTGGAAGTCAAATTATGGTTCTCCTTTCTCTTTGAAGCCTCTGATGGCTTCTGTCCACATTCAGGTTAAAAGACCTTAAGGGTGGCTTCCAAGACCCTACATAATAAACGCTTTCCTCACCCCCGTTCTCTTTTCTGCTCTGACATCTTCCTGATATGTTTATGTCTCAGGGAGAGCCATCACTTTCCAAAGTAGGAGGTGATAATAAAGCCTCATCCCAATCTAGTGGCTCTCACTTTGGCTGAATATCAGAATCACTTGGAAAGCTTTTAAATCCTAGGGCCACAGAGGTATCACTCCAGACAAAGTAATTCAGAATCTTTGATTGGGGTCCAGGCACTGGTATTTTAAAGGTTCCAGAGTGGTTCCGAAGTACAGACTTAACCATTGGCTTAAAGGTTAAGATACGTGCTTCGTTTCAACTATATTAAACTGACCTACAACTCTATTTAGCAAAGTAAAATGACGTATTAAATGTTGAATGTATTTATTCTAAAAGAGTTAAATATTCCTGAGAGTTGGAGGGATTTTAATGGTGGTTCAATATAGTCTTCTACCAGCAGAAAGAATCCCCTTTGATTTTGCTTGAACACTTTCAGTGTTGAGAGTACATGATAGAAGCTCCTTTCATTTGTTAACAGTTTTATTATAGCTTCCTTGCTATTCTTCAGACTTAAGAAGCTTGTTTCTGCCTCTGAGCCTTTATACTTACTGTTCCCTTTCCCTGGAACCTTCTTCCAGATCATCCACACAGCACATTCTCTTTCTTCTAGGTTTCTGTCTTCCACCCCAGGACTCCATGCTTTTCTACCCTCCTTGCCTCGTTGTTCTCATCGCGCCTACTGTTCTCTGAGTGTGTGCGTGTTCTTTGCTGTGCTAGAATTAACACAAGCCCTAGAGGCTGTCAGTGCCCTTACAACACCAGTGCTTGGAAAGTAGCTGCTCAGTAAGCAGCTCTGTGTGCGTGAATTGTCTTTAAAACTCTGCCTATATGGAAATGGAAAGATATTCCATGCTCTTGTAATGAAAGAATTAATACTAGTAAAATGGCCATACTACCCAAAGCAATCCACAGATTTAATGCAATCCCTATCAGATTACCCAGGACATATACATACAGTACTACAACAAGTAATCCTAAAGTTTATATAGAATCACAGAAGTCCCAGAATTTCCAAAGCAATCCTGAGGAAAAAGAACAAAACTGTGGAGGTATAACCCTCTCAGACTTAAGACAATACTTCAGAGCTACAGTAATCAAAACAGCATGGAACTGGCAGAAAAACAGAAATGGATCAATGGACAGAACAAAGCGCCCCAAAATAAAGACACACACCTATGATCAATTAATATTCAACAAAGGAGGCAAGAATATTCAATGGAGAAAAGACAGTGTCTTTGGCAAGTGGTGTTGGGAAAGCTGGACAGCTGCATGTAAATCAGTGAAGTTAGAATACTCCCTCACACCATAAACAAAATAAACTCAAAACAGCTTAAAGACTTAAACATAAGACATGATAGCATAAAACTCCTAGAAGAGAGCATAGGTGAAACATTCTCTGATATATAAATCATAGTATTTTCTTAGATCAGTCTCCCAAGGCAAAAGTGATAAAAGCAAAAATATACATATGGGATCTAATCAAATATATGAACTTTTACACAGCAAAGGAAACCACAAACAAAACAAAAAGACAACATACAGAATGGGAGAAAATATTTGCAAATGATGTGACTGATAAGGGCTTAATTTACAAAATACACAGACAGCTTATATAACTTGATGTCAAAAATACCCAGACAACCCAATCAAAAATGGGCAGAAGACCTAAAAAGCCATTTCTCCAAAGAAGTCATACAATTGGCCAAGAGCATATGAAAAGATGCTCAGCATTGCTAATTATTAGAGAAATGCAAATTAGAACTACAATGAGGTATTACCTCACACTGGTCAGAATGGCCATCATCGAAAAGTCTACAAACAATAAATGTTGGAGAGGGTGTGAAAAAAGGAAAGCCTCCTACACTGTTGGTGGGAATATAATTTGCTGCCGTCACTATGGGAAACAGTATGGAGGTTTCTTAAAAAACTGAAAATAGAGTTCCCACATGATCCCTCAGTCCCACTCCTGGGCATATGTCCAGAAAAGATAAAAACTCTAATTCAAAAAGATACATGTAGCCTAATGTATTGCAGCATTGTTTACAATAGTCAAGACATGGAAACAACCTAAGTGTCCATCAACAGATGAATGGATAAAGATGATGTGGTGTGTGTGTGTGCATATATTCAATGGAATATTACTCAGCTATATAAAAAAAAGAATGAAACTTTGCCATTTGCAGCAGCATGGATGGACCTAGAGATTATCATACTGAGTCAAGTAAGTCAGACAAAGAATGACAAATATTAACATGATTTCATTTATATGTGGAATCTAAAAAATAATGCAAATGAACTTACTTACTAAACAGAAACAGACTCAGATACAGAAAGCAAATTTATGGTTATCAAAGGATGGAGGGAGAGGGATAAATTAGGAATTAACAGATACTCACCACTATATATAAAACAAAACAGCAAGAATTTACTGTGTAGCATAGGAAATTACATTCAGTACCTTGCAATAACCTATAATGGAAAAGAATCTGAAAAAAGAATGTGTATGTACACACGCACACACACATATTTATATATATATATAGCTGAATCACTTTACTGAACACCTGAACCTAACTTTGTAAATCAACTATAGTTCAGTTAAAAAAAAAAAAAACAGTTCTTGAGTATCTTTCTTAAGCAGTGGGCTATTATTTCCTTGTTCTGGCAATAAACATGTAATAGTGACACTGTTCTTAGAAGTCCATGTCATTCTTTCATAGTTCCTTTTCATCATATATTCTTCCTTTTTCTTATCTATACAGGTAGAGAGGGAGGCAGCGTGTATGGTAGAAAGAATGCATATCATGTCCTAGCCCTAGTTCTAGTGTTTACCTGCTTATAACCATGGGCCTTGGACGTGTTTCTTTGGTTTTTCTCAGTTATAAAATGATGATAATGTTAATTGCCTTGACGGTTGTTTTAATGAGCAAATAAGATGTATACACAAAGTGCCTCACCCAGTTACTGGATTTTAGTATTTGAGCTTGTTGGAGAACTACTCCTGTATTCATACTCCATATTTAGATACAGTCTCATCTTCACATTAGAATAATTTTGCATTGCGTTAGCAGACTTTTGGTAGGAAGGGAGTGCTTACCTGCCTCCTAAGTCTTGTTTTCTTAAGAATCTTTTATTAAAGAGACAAATATCTTCCCTCAGAACTTTAAAATTTTCATTATGCCTTTCTTTAGATTTGAATTCTTGTAACAAGGAAAACTATTGAAATATAAATAAGTCTGCCAATAATTCCTATAATCAGTAAAATTTTTAAGTGAATATAAACATTTATGTAATTTATTCAAATGTTTGCCTGTGTGTGAGTGAGGTTCATTAGACCTTCAAGGGACATGTGGGAAATAAATGCTATTATTTAAGTTGGAGCAAATTCATTTATCAAGGTTTTTTTAGAATTTAGTAAATTTAATAAACATGCTTCAGAACTGATGCATTGAAAAGGCCTAAATGTAGATTTTATACAACCCGTTGTTTTCTTTTTCTTTAATTAGATTACAGCGAGGCAAGAAACAACAGATTGAAAACGGTAGTGGAGCAGAAGACAATGGCGATAGTTCCCACTGTAGTAATGCATCCACACACAGCAACCAGGAAGCAGGACCAAGTAACAAAAGGACGAAAACATCTGATGATTCTGGGCTTGAGCTGGATAATAACAATGCAACAGTGGCTATTGATCCAGTAATGGATGGTGCTAGTGAAATTGAGTTAGTATTCAGGCCTCATCCAACGCTTATGGAAAAGGATGACAGTGCACAGACACGGTAAGTGTGTTGGTTAGTTTCAGTCTATGAATTTAGAATGTTTACTGTGGAGTTAAAAGGCAGTTCTGTGTAAGAGTCAAGGGGAATATTTCTCATCCCATTGATTACCAGGGTTCATTTGTACATCTGGCTGTCTGGATTGTTGTTTTCTTCTCTCCTCCTGTGCTTCCCACCCACAGTTGCATATCTGAAAGGAGGACTGTCCTAGATAGAGGAGCAAAAAGGATCATTTAAATGTCTTAACAGTGATGGTAGGGTGCCAATAGGCTCTAAAATTCATGCTGACCGGGATGGCTGCTTTCCCACCGTATACCTCTGGAGAGCACACTGCCTGCCATTGAGAGCAGACAAGCATCAGATATTTGTTGAGTGAGTGATTGTTATACCATGCATTAAAAAAAAACAAAACCCCCTCAAGATTAGCACTTCTGTGCTCAGTCTTAAAAACCTAAAATGAATTAATTCTTAGTAAGAAATTTGCTCATATTCTTAATTTTCTCCTTGCTTCCTGCTGTAGACTCAGAACTCTGATCACTGGGGTTGAGGAGTAGGTTCTTTTTTTCCCTCTCAGTACAGTGTGTGTTCTATTTGATTTTTGTCATTTTATATCATATTTTATGAGTGGTAAGGTAGATGGAACTTTCACGGCCTGATAGACAGTCAGCTTGTACTTTCCCCTCTTCCATACCATTCAGTAAGAAATTTTTAGGTAATAGAGGAATAAATTTTAGATACTATTTTGCCAATAATTGAGACACTTATATTTTATATAAGCTTTTTAGAAATGTATTAGTTTTTATAATTTAAGTACATTTTATCTTAATCTAGAAATTAAGTTTTTAATGATTTATTTTTCCAGATACATAAAGACTTCAGGTAATGCCACTGTTGATCACTTGTCCAAGTATCTGGCTGTGAGGTTAGCTTTAGAAGAACTTCGAAGCAAAGGAGAATCAAACCAGATGAACCTTGATACAGCCAGTGAGAAGCAGTATACCATTTACATAGCAACAGCCAGTGGCCAGTTTACTGTAAGTATTTAAAATAATAGGCTCAATCTCACTGTTGCTGTGCCTTGGGCGGCCTTCATGTAATTCTTTTTCTTTTTTTGTTTTAGGTGTTAAATGGCTCTTTTTCTTTGGAATTGGTCAGTGAGAAATACTGGAAAGTGAACAAACCCATGGAACTTTATTATGCACCCACAAAGGAGCACAAATGAGCTTTTACTAAAACCAGTTCTAAGAATGAACATTTTGATAGCCTATTTCTTTAATATTAAAGATATACCGTCATTACTTTTATGGACATAACCTTGGATATGTTCAGTTTTCTTTCTGAGCCAGACTCGTTTACACTATTAGAATCTTTTCCCCTTAATTTAAGATTTCCTCTTTGGAAGGGACTGCAATTGTTCAGTACTTCGTCTTTCCTTTTAAAAATAAGTTGTATGTTTTCACAAAGTATGGTTCCATTTGGAGCACCTTTTGACCCAGGAATTTTTCATAGTTCTGTTATTCTTAAGTGGATTCAGTTGGCCATCCTTTTCCCTCCCTTCAAAAGTTTTTTAGGCTTACAGAATGTTAAATAATATGTATTTTGACTTTTTTTCCTGGAGTCTTGTATATTTATAGTTTTCTATATAAGCTGTAGTATCTTCATGAAGACCAAGGCTCAAACTTACTGTGCTTAAAAAACAATTCTCATAGGATTATTATTTTCATGGTATTTTCTTCCATAGTATCTCATTTAAAAAAAAAGTTCATTATGAACTTAGTGTCCATTGTCATGCAATGTTATTTTCTTCCATTTTTTCCCCTCTAATTTTGGAATTTCTGATCCTAGGAGAGAATCAAATAAGATCTCAAGTTCTGTGAGAACTTGGTTCATTTGCAGATTTCAGTGAAGGAAAAGAAATTAAATTGGTCTTATGTAGTTTTCAAGTGTATATTTAAAGAAGTCTTTTTTGTGTTAGTTCTGTCCCTTTGGTTCCTTTATTATGTATGTTTTTTCCCTATTAAAATACCAGAGACATGGAGATATTTTGCACTTTAGTCTTGATGAAAAGTACAAGATATGTTCAAAGCTTCCCTAATTCTTTTCATATTGGTAGCCACATAAATTTCAAAAATATATGGCACATAGAAGTAACAGTGGGGAAAAATTTTGCTTCTGTTTGAAAAGTGTGTTTAGCATTTTGGGTTGCCATATCAGTTTATAAATTCGGTGCTCTGCTAATTACACTCTAGAGAAGCAGGTTAACGGAACTTGAGCCCTGCTTTGATGTGTAGTGAAAATTTATTCTGTAGAAGAATGTCCACAGATATGGTAAAGTCATTCTACTCTTAATTTAGTTTTCTATTGAAGGACAGTGTTTGGTGTTTGGAGCCAGAAGGCTTTTATGATGACAGGTCAGAAATAAGATTGACTTGTCTGTTAATTTTTTATCCCTTTCCTGTTTCCAAGTTTATATTAATCACAGTATTTACAGAAGCATATTGGCATTGAGATATTAACCATAAAAGGTTTTTGCCATGGGAGAGGAGTCCTCCAGTACCACTGTAATTAAACCTGTCTAACCATTGTAAATAATTACCCATCATTTTTGACAGATTGGGGCCAGCTTGATGTTTTAAATCTTCACTGCAATATGAAAACTTAAAGACTTACTCAATTTTTTTACCATTTTATTGAAAATACTTAAAATCTGTTTTTACTGGAATTTTTTTTGGTAATTTGTGCCATGAAATTTGAAAACTACCAAAAATCAAGGGAAATTTTGTATTCAATTCCTTTTCTGGCGTAATGTTAAGTTGTATAGATTAATGCATGTCCACTGACTATAACCCTTGTTTTGTGATATAACTGCTTAGATTTTATTGGTGACATTAGATTAGTGGTTGCATTAAATAACTAAATTCCCATTGTGATTAATTGAAATTTATCTTTAAGCAAAAAGTTATTTGTGAATATAAGCTTTGTGCTTAGAGAATGTATGTGTTTTTATCTGTCAGTATGGGAGGATGTAAATTCTTTGCATCATTAGTGAATTTATTGGATATGTAATCCTTTGCAAAATATAATTATAGGTATTTGATAGAGCATTGAGTGTGTAACGTGTGTGTGTGTATGTCTGTGTGTTTTGGGAGTGGGAACTATTTACTTCTACTACTGGCCTAGGTTTTATAAAATTTTACGTAGGTAGCCACCATCTCAATGAGGAAAAAAAGGCTCACCAAATGTGAAGATGGCCTTTGGATAATACATTATCAGTTAAAAATTTATTACAGTAAAATATATATAACCTAATTTATTGTTTTAACCATAAAATTTAGTGACATTAAATACATTCACAATATTGTATAACCATGACCACAATTTCCAGAATGTTTTCATCATGAGTCAAGAACTCTGTGCCCATTACATGATAATTCCCCATTCCTACCCCGACCCTCAGCCCAATAAACTCTATTCTCCTTTTCTCTTCGAATCTGTTTTAGACATCATGTGTGTGAAATCATGCAGTTTTTTTTATCCTTTGTGTCTGTCTTATTTCTCATAGCATAATGTAAGGTTCATCCATGTTGTAGCATGTATCAGAATTTCATTCCTTTTGTGGCTGAATAATATTCCACTGCATGTATACACATTTTGTTTATCCATTCATCTGTTGATGGACATTTAAGTTGCTTCCGTGTCTTGGCTATTGTAAATAGTGCTGCTATGAACATTGGGGTGCACGTATCTTTTTGAATTAAGAGTTTTGGATTAGAGAATTAGATGGATGGACACTTTTTGCTATTGTTAATAATTTTTGTACAAGTGTCCGTTTGAGTCCCTGCTTTAAATTCCTTTGGTCATATACCTAGAAGTTAAGTTGCTTGATTGTAATTTTGTTTAATTTTTTGAGGAACCCCAAACTTTTTTCCAGTGTCTGTACCATTTTGCAGTCTCACATGTAAGAGATAACTCAGAATATTTGTCTTTCTCTGTCTGACTTAATTTCACTCAGCATAATACTCTTCTCGTCCATCCACATTGTTGCAAATGGCAGGATTTTTTTTTATGGCTGAGTAATATTTCAATTCCATTGTGTATGTGTGTGTCTGTCTGTATATATATGTGCTTATATATATACTGCACCTTCTTTATCCATTCATCTGCTGATGGGCACTTAGGTTGCTTCCATATCTTGGCAACTGTAAATAATGCTGTGAACATTGGGGTGCATGTGTCTTATTGAATTAGTGCTTTCATTTTCTTCAGATAAATACCCAGCAGTAGAATTGCAGAATCAGATGGTAGTTGTTTTCTCAGTGTGATTTTGATTTGCATTTCTTTGAATATTAGCGATGTTGAACCTTTTTTTTTAATGTGCCTGTTGGCCATCCTTACATTTTCTTTGGAAAAAACATCTATTCAGTTCTTCTGCCCACTTCTTAATCACGTTTTTTGTTATTGTTGTTGAGCTGTTTATGTATTTTGGATATTCACCCCTTATTGGTCGTATCATTTGGAATTGTTATTTCCTATTCAGTAGGTTGTCTCTTCATTTTGTCAATGATTTTCTTTGCTGTGTGAAAGCTTTTAAGTTTAATTAGGTCTCATTTATTTATGTTTTGCTTTTTCTTTTGCTTTAAGGAGATAGATCCAAAAAATATTGCTAAAATATATGTCAAACTGTTCTGCATATGTTCTCCTCTAGATTTATGGTTTCAGGTCTTACATTTAGGTCTTTAACTCATCTTGAATTTGTATATGGTGTGGAGAAATCAAATCTTGTTCTTTTACATGTAGCTATCTAGTTTTCCCAGCACCACTTACTGAAGAGAGTTTTTTCTCCATTATATAATCATGCCTCCTTTGTTGTTAAGTAATTCACCGTAACTGTGTGGGTTTGTTTCTGCGCTCTCTTGTTTTTCATTGATCGGTGCCTGTTTCTGCACCAGTACCATGGTGTTTTGATTACTGAAACATTGTAGTATATAGTTTGAAGTCAGGGAGTATGATACCTCTAGATTTGTTCTTTTTTGGTAGTTCTGGGTCTTTTGCAGTTCTATATAAACTTCAGAATTATTTGTTCTACTTCTTTGAAAAATGTCATGGATATTTTGATAGGGATTGCATTAAATCTGTAGATTGCTTTGGGAAGTATGGATAGTTTAAAGTATTAATTCTTGTAATCCAAGAACATGAGATACCTTTTCATTTCTTTGTATCATTTATAGATTCCTTTGTCAGTGTTTTAGTTTTTAAAGTCTAGGTCTTTCACCTCCTTGGTTAAGTTTATTCCTAGGTATTTTATTCTATTTGATGTGATTTTTAAATGGAATTTTTTGTAGCTGGTATTCAGTTTAACAATACGTAGTAAATCACGTGGTCCATGTGCTGGTTTGCCTTATGAATTTATACTAATTTTTCTTAACTATTCAAAAGAAGAAACTAATAGCTTTTCTTTCTTTTTGTGATCATTTGTGAGTTATAATTTTAACTGGTAGGTATAATTGAGGCTTTTTTTAATGGTCATTTAGAAACTAACTTGCACTTCACCTATTCCATTATTTTAGTAAAATGTATAATTTTATAAATAGGGGAAAAGAAAAAGCATCCTTTTAGGGCTATCTTGTAATAACACAAAGAGATTTTCTTTTATTTCCACTAAACTCATATTCTATGTTGATATATTTCTCCCTGGATTTCTATGTATGTCATGGGAGTGCTTTTTTTTCTTATATAGTATATTTAAACCTTTCAGTTACTAATCTCTCCCCATTCTCCAAGGTTAATGCTTGTAAAAAAATTACTTCCTCTAAGAAATATTTCTCAAGTCCTTGAGACAAACATCAAAACTTTTGGTGTATCTTCTCATCCAAACTCTAATTCAAATGAGCAAGGACAATATTTATTAATGGAAACAAGATTTTTTTCCAACTGATTTTCGTAGTCATGTTAGCCTGAGCTACTTATACAAAAAATTAGCACATACACACATCAAAAAGCAAACAAAACAGAACAAAACCACTTCAAAAACCAAAAGTCCTCACTTCATAAATTCATAAGGTGACAAGTTTTTACTCCTGAGAGGTAGCACAACCAAGCGAATGAATATTGAACGTGCATTAACTGAGGCACTTGAGATCACCCAGTTTGTTTAATTTGTAACAAAATTTCTCCTCTTCAGAATTTAGTGCTTGTGAACAATTACTATATTAGAGCAATGGTCTCAGTTTATTTGACAAAATCTTACTTTGAAATTTAGTCATCTAGACCTTAAACATGTAAGAAAGAGGTACATCTATCTATCTCAGGCAAGTATTTAATTTCTAAAAAGCTAGTAATAAACTAAAAGATCAAGGTAGGGAGAGGTATGATTTCTTGAAACTCGGAACATACTTTAGCTCATAACTGTGAAATACATTAGTGACTCCAAAAGACAACATTGTTCTTACTCTGTTTAGGGCCATTTTAATAAAAGGCCTCTGGCTTTATCTTATCCACTCCAAACAGAAAAACAGAAATATCATGAGTCAGTTTAAGTAGAGATGTGATTAATAATAGTAAAGGATGGCTTCCACAATAGACATAAACTTTCTAACACTTTGCATGTGAAAATTTTCTGAGTTATTAAACAGTAGGGTGATCTCAGTCACAAATTTAGCTTCGTATGAAATGTTTTCATTAAAATTTTAAGTTTTCTTTAAAATAAGAAAAACTTGGAAAGCATAGCTCCCAAACCAGCTAAGTTAGAAACTGCTAATTTTCTGAATGAAAACAGCACTGTTTTCTGTTTTTACACCACTGAATTGAAAGAATAGAAAAAGCACTGCAGTTGGTATAGAGAACTATCAGGCCATCAATATGGACCTCTGGGGATAACCTCTTCACATTTACCATCTTCTGCAACCACTTGCTTCTGCTTTCTCATTCGCTGACATTTCGACCCTGTCAGCTACTGTATCTTCGGATGCTGGCTGGACGTGGCCCTCTGACTGTCCTCCAGTGTAGGTGGGGGTGCTGTATTTTAAAAGGATAGATTTAAACTGCATCAGAGGTGCATCTGTACGAACACCCATTGGGTCAAAATGAGTTCGGCTGACTCGAAAGCCTGCTTGAGAAAGATAGCACAAAAACTTTTTTAACCTGCAGCAAGGGAAGGAGAAAAAAAAATAATGAGGTTCTTGTACTTTTATTTAAATCACAATGTCATTAAAATATTAAATATATACACTGTCATTCACTGGCTGTCTTACTTTGGCATATTCATTCCTTTAATGCTGTGTCTATGGATGTTGTAGTAAAAGGGAGGATGTTCAGTATTGACATCAGTCTTTTGCTTCTTGGCTAAATTTATGATTGTTTCATTACTTTTCCTCTTTGCTGAAACATACATATATAAACACACAAAGTTAGCATTCTCTTAAAAGTTACAAGACAAACACTTTTATGACTATATAGTGTCTCAAGCCTAAATCCTCTGACACCATTTCAACCTGTCCAGTATTAATTTTTAAAATAAGAAATTTTATTGTAAGAATAAGATACAAAATAAGATGTTTATTACTGATGTTTTCACTATCCTTTACTGTAATTTTAATATTTAACTGTTTGCTGAGTCAGAACTTTGTTTTGATGTTCTTCAATTTTAAGCCTCCATTCTATTTCCATCTCCTGTAGAAAGCCATTTATGAATCCTGGGCCAGTTATCTCATAGATTTCATTACTGTCAACACTCCACTATTCAGAGTTTAAGTTCTATCATTTTTTTTCTTGTTTTATGTATTTTGGTCCTTTCTTCCCAAATTGTATTCTAAGTTCCTACGGATAACATCCTTCATTTCCATACTTGTATTCTCTACTGAATACAATGAGGGTTTGAACTGCATGACTGCGTGGGTGGGTCCACTTAAACGCAGACATTTCTCTATAATAAAAATGAGTACTACATGGTCTATAGTTGGTTGCATCTGTGGATGGAGGGCTGACTCTAAGTTATACATGGATTAATCCCTGGGTTGTTCGAGGGTCAACTGTATTTGATACTAGTAGGTCTTCAATCAACACAAAACCAACACAAAATTAAGTCTCAAGGGCTTGGATACAGAAATTTATAAAGGTA